AATAAAGCGTTTTCCGATCGCGACGAACATTTATGAACTTGTCCTGCTGTTTCGTGTAAACGAACGAGCAAGAAATATGAATGTTAAAATCAATTCGCATCGCAATCTAGCGTTTTTCTAGTTGTTCGCACACACACACACAGACACATAATCCTTATCAGCATTTATATTCTCCAAGAATGCATAATTATCACGAGTGCATAATTAACACGATAACACGAAAATAATGTGTTCTGTTTGACTTTCATCCATTATTAATGTTCATGCAATGTTAATACAATCAAACTAATAAAGTTTATATTAATCCATTATTTGCATTATATGCTGCAGTATTATTCTCGATTAAACGCTTTATTTAAAATATAAACACTGACGAGATATAATCAATTATGTTAATTGGGATAATAATATGTATAATGATGAAATTTGTCATCCTGTATATAGAAGATGATTACATTAATGTTAATAAAATTTTTAATTAATTTATACCAAATTTAACAATTAATTTTCATATATATATATATATTGTTTGACATTATCAATGATGCAGGTAATGGTTCCGTTTTCTTCAGAGTTTATAACGCAGATAATAACAAAACTGCTTTTTTAAAGACGAATTGTTTGATTATTCTCCCGATAGATGCAACTCGCAATTGTCGATGCTCAGTCAACTTATATTTCGCATAAATCGATGACGCTATAGCTTGAAAATTATTCTTCCTGAACGGAAACGTGCTTAAAAAGCGAATATCTTCCCTCGAGAGATCGAAACGAATGAAGATATATACTACTTGCATAGGCTTAATCTTGGAAAAATCTCTCGCCAAGAAAATATCTCTCATTCTTATTCGATATCTTACTGAATAATAGAATGTAACAAAACGGAGATATCTTTTCACTCAGCAACAATAAATATTTTGAAGAATTATTATAACATTTTATCAAATTATATATTTTATAAACTATATTTTTCTCATGCATCTAAATATGTAATCTTAACAAATATGATTAATAATAATAAATTCTTACTATATTCTTAATAACAAATTATTAATAAGATTGCAATAATCTTTTTCTATAATTATTGGATAATTTGTAATTATGATAGAATAAACAATATACAACTAAATACAAATAATGTATATGCCAACCGCTTGTATGGAAAATAAATTTTCTAGATTAAAGTTTTGAAAAGTACAGCTGTACGTAAATCTTATTTTAATTACTGCTATTCAGATTACATATTTTTGATATATGGCAAAAGTTGAATGAATGCCTCAAACTTTCAACTTGACACTTCCCATCACTTATGAAAAGTCGATCAATTGCAAAACAAGTTTGTACAATCAGTGATCGATAAAGCATTAAATCACGTCGAAAGTTTTAATTCGCAGACTGAAAAATTTACCTAAATTATTTATGACCGTCCCACTTTCCGACCGGTGCGGTGCTTAATCCGTCGAATCGCATCACATTCAAAGATATCGTGCACCAATAAAATGCATCGCGTGACTATTGATAATATATAAAATTTTACGAGAATAATTTCGAGCGAACGACCCTGTCTGCATTTTTCTCGCAAATTAATCACGATTTGTCCTATATTATAAATCATGTTAATAAATATTTTTCACACTCAGACAAAACGTATTATGTATTTATGCATAGAAAGCTATGTTACATCAAATATCTTTTATATTTTTTTCATATATATTTCTTTATTGTTTGCAGGTGCAACAGGTTTGAAAAATCTGACGATAAGCGTACCGGCCATGGTGAGATCAGGGGATACCGTAACGCTATCATGTCACTACGACTTGGAGGGCGCAAATTTGTATACTATACAATGGTTCTTCAACGCTATAGAATTTTACAGCTACATACCTGATCGCGTTCCACCGCTCAAAACGTTTGACGTCGGTATACAAGTTAACGTGAGTAATTCATCTCAATAACTAGAAGTTACAATATTTCTTTTCAAATTGAGAATATTCCTAATTTTATAATATTCAAGATCATTGCCGTGCTAGCTCCCCAACTTTTCAAAAATATAAAACAAATAAGCATAATTATGAGTTATTTATGAGTGTTCATATCTCACAAATTAAAAATATTGAGCTCGTCGCGTTCGACAGGAATTTTATATTTTTTGGGAAAGCTGAGATGATGTCGACTCTCTCTCTCAACTTTTCCGTTGAATACTTGTGTTCATTAATTGATAACGATTTTTGTCATCTATATGTTCAAAATAAATTATGATATATATAAAATTTATTTTTTTTCACATCGTAAGCTATTTTCAGCGTACACATGACAAATCATATAGTAATCGTATTGAATGAATAAACACTTAATTCAATAAGTGTAGAAGAATTTAAAGCACTAACAAGAAACTTTTTCATATGTGCAATCTTATACAAGTGTAGATATATAAACCTGCACGACACGATCTTAAAAATCTCTACCTATATAAAATGCGCTATATATATATGCAATAAAAAAAATTATTCTAAGCTAATAATCGAGAGTCACCTCGAATGCGTTTATCTCGATTACGTCCGACTTTTCAATTAACGTCTATAAAAAATCTTATCTCTTTAATAGCACTTTTATGAAGACCAATTTTGGCCTTGATTAATATAATGTTCGTTATAATATTCACCTGCCTAAATTATGAAAAAAAAAAAATTATAACATTATGATATAATAATTTTAAGATTAAAGTTTCAATTATATATCGCAATTATTTTTCGAAATTTCTATCAAACTTTTTCATGCTTATAAACTTGTTTATTGGTATCTGGGGATTTCAGTAAAACAATCAACGCGCGCAATTTAAACAACACATAAGGAAACTTTAAATTTGATTGGTTAACGTTTTAAAACTATTTTACATCACAACATTGTTTTAAATCCAACCTTCTTATTGCGTGTATTATAAATTGTATTTCCCGAGAGAGAGAGAATGAGAGAAGCGCGTATCGATGTACCGTTAGATCCATTTATCAAACGAGCGCTCTCTTTCGAAGAGTCGTCGAGATAAAAGAACTAAAACCCAACTCGCGATTTTTGCGCTCGCGAATAAACGACGAGCTAGCTTTTTGTTACTCACGCGCGCTTGATCCGACCGTAATCTATTTTTCCGCGGAAAACAGCCTGCGCAAGTAGATTCGATAAGGGAGAAGATCTGGACCACATATTCTCTCTCTCTAACCCAGCGAAACTTCTTGTCGCTCCCTGGACATTGTCTTTTCGTCTCTCTATCCGTATCTTTTCTAATCTCCCATGCATCGGGATGCCCCCATTTTTCCGCCGGTATGGCCACGACGAGGGCAAAAGTTCTCCCCGTGGATGCAGGGTAAAGTAGGGTAACGTAAGGAATCGATAGGCTGATTTATGGCGTGTACTAAGACCGCGACACGGCTTGAACCCGGGTCAAGCGAGTTCCGTGTTTTACTGACGTCGATTCAACGCCACTGCAGTCGCGAACTTCACTGCGAATCCTCCCCTATTCCTTTCTTCCTTTTTTTCGCGTCTGCCGAGAGGAGAGGTGCGATTCTTCTTAAATTTCCTGATACTCGAGAAAATGGAATCCCCCTTTCCGCAAGGGTGCACTCGGCGAGAAAGCAATATCCTGTAGGTTTGTATAACACTACCCTTCGGATGCGCGCGAGCGTCGAAGAGAAATGTTAGAGATTAATTCTCGATGTGTTTGTGCTTATTGAATATATGTGAAGTGCGGAAAGTTTCCGCACGGCAATAATGCATTTTACACAGTAAACCCATTCAATGCTATTGATTTAGTGAAAACAGCTTCAAAATCCTTATATAACGAGATTTTATTATTAAAAGAATAATAATTTTCCATTAGATTTTCCAAAGCTAATAATCAATCAGTAATTTCATTATTATTAACATTTTCATCGGTTTTCATTATTAACTTCAAATAAAATTCTTTTTACGTAAAATTAAAAATATTGAAAAAATTTTAATTAATATTTGAAAGATAATTATTGACTTTTGTGACAAGATTAATATCTTTACTTATAAGAAAGAATACCGAATAACCTATATATACATATATATAATAAAATTTTTGTAGAACTAATTATTCACACCTAATTTCTTCTCACGAATTTCACAGTGTGCGATATAATTTAAGTGATAAATATCTTAGGCGAAACAGCATAAGAAAGACGCATATAACTTCGGTGGAGCGTGTACATTTAATAGCGTCCAGGCTGGCTTCCTTTTTGCTTCCTATTCCGGTGCCCTTTGTCCAACGACTCAAAGGAAGCACGCCGAAGTCCGGCAGGAAAATACTCTCGTGGGATCTGCGACGTGCTTTTCTGATAATTACCGCAAAGAGGCGGTCGTGAAGCGCGCGAAAGCATGAACTTTATTGAACAGAACTTTGGAGGGAAGAAAAGCATAACTTAGGGAAGAGAATACGATTCTGGAAGAATGACGTGGATGAACCGGAGTGAGAAAAAGAGACCTTCCACCGGTGGAAGGAAACACAACTGGATAAAACAACATTGAAAGCGAGGGATTTAATGCATGAGAGTGTAAATGAGGACGCAAAAAACGGGAATACAAAAGGGTCGAGGGAGAAGTAATCAGAAAGCGACGCGAAAAGACGGGTAAGAAAGCGAGACTGACACTTGCTTGAAAAGTGTCAGAGGACCTCGCAGTTTAAGATATTTCCAGACATGGAACAAACGGAGATGAAATGAGAAGAGAGAACAATATGGGAAGCGAAAACTATCGGAAGAAGCAAAGTAACATCGTCGCGACATTACGGAGGCTTCATCCCGAGGCAAGACGGTCTTCTCAGTTTCTTCCTCGAAATCGCGACAATAAGGATTCAATTTTTCCAACTGCCCGAAATTCTGCATGGATTCGAAGACATTTCACGGGATTCTCGCTTTGCTCGCTTTTTAATGTGATTCTAAAAATGACCCACAGATTTTTATATTAATTTTTTGTCATTATTTATATTTCGGAAAAAATCGGACAGAGAGCGATAATAAAAGCGTTAATCGTAATATCTTATATATTAGTAACATGCTGTGATGCATAGCTCCTCCGAAACAATTTAATGAACGAATATTAATTCGGAAGTGACTCCTCGGTGAATTATAAGACATTATGGCGAGACGAACGGTTTCGCCTTGCTCGAGTATATAGCAAGGCGTGCAAGATTTAAGCCCGACTCGAGCAAAGATAGATATAGGAAGCTGGGAATTTTCATGAACGTATAAAGCATCTGATGTCGGTAGGTAACTATGTGCGGTCGCGCGTGTAATCTTTATAACGAGAAATTTACAACGCTCGCGCGCGCACGCCGTGAAAATCAGCTGATCGGATTTAAAGACGTTTTCGTGATCATCCGATATGTCGGCAGTCATAAAATTATTGCAAAAAAATCCGATGTATCTCTAAACAGCAACCGCGCTAATATTCTTTTTTTTATTTTTTCTGTCAATAAATGAGTACCCAAAGCAATTTCAAATGTTAAAATGCGTCGAAACTTTTCTTCACCCGAAATAAAATGTTAAGAGCCTTCTTGTCGATCATAATTCTGCGTTATTACCCAGAAGTACCTTTGCACGTGAAACATTTCGTAGTACGTGAAACGCGATCGTTGCGCTCGTGTGCGTCCGAAGATTTAGGATAATAATTTTTCACTATTCGATTAAGTTTTCTATCGTCTATCCCGATTGGCTCGTATATTTCCAACCCGAGTACTTTCAGTCGATATAAGAATAGGCGATATTTGTTCCACGTGAGTCATGGTCCGTAATACTATGTAACAGTACTGAGCTATTGTTACTGCGATGTAATCGATGAATCGGGAGCAAATAGCTCTCGTATTCTTCGTAAAGTTTTAACGGACGGGAAGAATAAAACTTTAAATGTTGCTTTTAAGGAGAAAAAAAACATTTTATTTGATTTATATAATTTCAATATATAAATATGCTTAATTGTATGTAATATATTTTCGTAAAAACATATGTTTTCACTGTACGATTAATATTAATTCAATGCATTGTTGATTATTTGAAGTGCTTCAATAACATTAAAATATATTTTTAAAATATGTGAAATTTTATCTCCGTCATTATACTCTGAAATAAAGACTTGATATAATATTACGCATTAGCGCAACTGCTATTCATATTTAAAGTAAAGTTTAACGTGTGTCAGATGTATTTGCTCATGCAGCATCATCTAATCGGGAATAGGTATATAGGTATAGAACGCGCTCTGAAAAATAGGGTGCATGTTCACACTTTTCATAAAGGAGGTAACGCGTAGCTCCCTCAGTTTCCGCCCCAGCAGATCCGAATAGTCGCGGCTGCAATCCCTTTCAATGATATTTTTCATCGACCGTCTCGTCCACGCCGATGCCAGAAGCGAAGAAGAAACGATGAAAAAGACTTGTCCCCTCATCCGATATAGTTTGTAAAGAAGGCGGAGACGCTCGCCGCGATGAATATAAATGCCTGCGAAGAGCAAAAGAACAGTGCTGCAAAAAGAACCGGGAACGGACGCAGCCAAATCGTACAATTCAGATTTAAAAGATTCGGATGTAAAATCGATCAGTGGTACAAAATGCGGAGCAATAGCGGAACAGTGTTTAATATCAAGATGATTCGATGCGGAAAGACATTAAAGAAGAGAGACAGATATGCCATACAGATTAATTTTTAATATGGATTTAATATTTCGAAAAATGAATCTTTTTAATATATATATGTATATATATGCATAATACTTGAAATGAATCTACTTATTGCAACTAATTTAAAATTATAATAAAACAATATACGTAAAAATAGTAATGATGATAATAAATTATGAATTTAAATTAACATAATACTAGTATTTCTATCATGCTTCTTTTAAATTATTATTTATCTCTTATAACATGATAAAGTTATATCCTGCTTTATAACTTTATTTCCGTTTAAAAAATGGTTTAAGAGGTTTTTATATATCTTTACATTGAAAAAAAATGTTACATTATTCTCTCAAAGTTCTCATGATTAATATGCACATTTATCTGGCACCCAAAAAAGTAGTATGAAGTCGAAGCACGCTGCTAACTTACTTTTGCAAAAATTATACACGTGTTTCGAATTGATGTCACTGTGTCGATATTATAAGACAAGAAACTTTTGTCTTTTGTTCTTCGACATCTGAGAGATATAGCTAAAACGTGATACTTTCTGCAAAGATAAATCAGTAAAAAATTCTTATATATATTTAAGTATACATATATATATTATAGTATCATAAAGGTTTCTCTCTCTTTTGAAACGTCTGTAAAAGCACTCTGAAGAATGTCGTTTTGAAAGGAATCCTCGCATTATTTCAGTGACAGTTTTACTAAGGATTCATACTTTTAGCAAAGCCATAACGGAATACGTGATCGATATACTTATTATCATTTTCTTTCTCTTACACAGAAATAATGAAACAAAGTAACTAAAAACAAACACGACTGATTCTGATATTGCTCTGATTTAGTTTCTTCTGTCGTCTTTTATTATTATTTGGTTATTACAACATCGTGTAACAGAATAAAAGAATGTTAACTATCTAGAAGCGGTGAATCATTCGTAATGAATATTCCTTGCATCTTATTCATTACTTCCGACTCAACTTCCTCTCAACTCGAGATTGCCGAGTATAAAGTTTAATTGAAGCCACATTGGAAAATGTTAAAATTGTTGTAGACATTTGTTGGATTTTCGTATAAATTCCAATTATAGATCTTACGCGAAAATAATTTCACGCCAGTGAATTATCGACGTCAAGTACTTTCGAGCGTAGAAAATTAGAAAATCGTGATCGTAAAAGCCCTAATTATATATTGACATAAATTTGCCGTGCATGAAAAATGACGAAACTTTTTTATATCACTGGAAAAAGAAAAACTGTGATATAGAGAGACACAAATCGTATAGAGGAGATGCTTGTATAAGAAATAGAGAGGGTGGAGCAGCGATGAAACACAGTAGATACATTGAGTTTCACGTTTTACAGGATTCCGAATCGAACACAAACGATGTGACATTGATGAACTTGACCAGGCAACTTACCGGGATCTACAAGTGCGAGGTGTCCGCTGGCAGTCCTTCCTACCACACTATGATAGAAAGGGGCAGAATGGAAGTAGTCGGTAAGTATGTCGAACGTCGAGAATTAAAAACTTTTTCTTCCCATTCTCTCTCAGGAGAGATCAATTTGCCGTTCTGGGATTGTTCGCGCACAATATACGCGTTCCGTTTACCTCGATATTCGATTTCAAAGCGGCGTTACGTTTGGTAAATACGCATGAGGATCAACGATCAGATATAATACCGGGATTTAGACGAGATTAGCCTATAATGCTACAATAAGATTTTTCTCATTTTCAATAAACAAACTGAATCCGTTTTCTTTCTTATCTCTTTTTTAACCCTCTCTGATATATCAGAGAGGGTTAAATACGTATTAATTTTTATTTTATATATAAGAGAGAATAATAATGTCATATGAAATATAATTATTACAAATAAAAGTATACATCTACATATTTTTTATGTTTTATAATATACATAATTTAATAAACGTAAACTGAAATAACACTGTCAACAAATATTCTTAAAGTTGTGCGTAAAATAAAAAACTGCAGGTCAAGTAATCAAATCTTTAAATGTTTTGTCTAATGCATTAAAAAATAATCATTAATTATTTGATTGATTGTGGATTCCGATGATATACTTGTAAAAATAGAATAATTATTTCGTACTATAAATATAATATTTATAGTAAATATGTAACGATATATTAATTCATAATTTTTATTTTCTATTACTTTCGATTTTTTTCCGCAATAAATTAATTGCGCAAAGTATTTGTTTCGATAAATAGTTGCAGCCTTGATATGTTTACAAATTTATAATCGTGAAGTTAATTAATCGGGTTAATAATGGCTAAATGTTCATAGAGAATAATCGTGTTTCAAAGGATAATAAACGAGCAACTTGAGTCTCGAGTTGTTTCATGTTTCATGTGTTATCCTTTGAAATGACCCGTGAATGACACAACTTGTGCAACTTTGTGTATAACGCTGATTGTTCTGTCACTCGTCACTCCAAAACATTACCTACTAAGGATTTAATATTATATAAAATAATATATTTTTTATTTATGTATAATTATTCTGTTTTTCTAAATAAAATTATTAACAAACAGATTAATATAAAACGCTGTATTACTTAAATCACTTGAATTTAAATAATAATCAATAATAATAACAATAACAAATTAAATATCGGCGAGAGCAATTTAAAATGGGATGCGAAATAAAATGAGTAACAATCAACAATAATTGTCGCCCGTATAAATATTATGTCATAGTAAATTAAAACTTTCATTTTCCCATCGTTTTAATTTCACTTTAAACAAATAAGTCAATTATATTTTAAA